GGGTGCGCAGACTTCTTAAACCCTGCTGACACGCTTAATACGCATCGCTTCTTAATCCTACATTCCATGCTGTAATATTCTCCATGTCTGTTTTCAAAATGTTGTTTTGAATCGATGATCTTTTTTTTGTTTCTTTTTAGACAGAGTCAGACACGTGGTTTCCAGTCTAGTGCCAAACCTAAGTGTGCTGGCTATAGACTCATCAATAAAGGATGTATCCTAATAGGAATTTTGTCAGTCGAATCAGAATCAGTTTGTATGTGTGAAAATTCAACAATGGGTTCCTTTTTTATTTGAATTGTCAGGCAAGGCTCTATTGAACTCCTTTATTTATGAAAAGGGTTCAGTTGGATTATCAGGATTACAGCAACTTTCAAATAATGTAGTAAACAAACCAAGTTATCCCACAAAACTAATGTTTGCCAACAACAGAGGATAACAAGTGTGTAATGTTGTTTTTTTCTGACACTATATATAAAACAAATGCTATACATTAAATACATTGTATTTAGGTCTGCAGTTACCTGCTCCCATTGCAAACATCTTCACCAAGTTGACAGGACGAAATATCTAAGCTATTATTAACACAATCTTTATTTACAACACACAATATTTTTATCTGTTGACCATCAACACCGACTACACCATAATGAAATATTGGGACCGAGGAACTAACCCCCTACCACCTGCTGTCCACAGTCGTCAGGTTGCTGCTTTGCAGGTTTCATCAATAACCATGATGAAAACGCTGATACTTACCATTTACATTACAAAAAGCTCCATTTAGTAGTTAACAGACATGTCTGCAACTTTTGATCAATAGCTCCAGATATCAATGAAATGTGCTCACATGTAGAAGGCATGTAAATAGTAACCCTTCTTTTTCAACTCAAGGAAGATTACAATTAATAGATATGACTAATGTGCTTTCAAAAAACCGAAAAACCATTAAAAGATTTGACAGCACACCTGTTTTTTTCCTGACATTTCCTTCAGCAAACACATGATTTTTCATTCCACAGAAAACCACTAATGTCGTCATTAATGTGGCTCCTGGGAGGTGAAACCCAGAGGACTGAGAATCATGGAGGCCCACAGTGAATCCGCTGAAGGCTGCTTATGCGCGTGGGCCGGTGCTAAGCATCATTTTGCATCATTAACTCCGCCTCCAGAGCCACAGCGAGCAGCAGGAAACTGACAGGATTCAAGACAACACAAATTGCTCTGGTAAGTGTTGCGTCTTCTATTACTTTTCTTCTGTGAGTCTTCAAACTTCATTTAGATTAGTCAGAGTTTTCATCAGTCACGGTGCTGCTCAACACTAAAGGCCTGAACATTTTCTGTCTATGGCGTGAGCTACTTGTGTTTTCTCCTACAAGGTTCTGATGTTACTGATAGTAAACATGTTAGGCATGGTATTGTACCAAAGACAACCCCCTGTTAAAGGGAAAGTTCACCCAAAAATGAAGATTCACTTATTATCTACTCACCACTATGCTGATGGAGGGGCGGGTGAAGCGTTTGAGTCCAGTGGTTAAAGTTTCAGGGATAAACAGTGTTGCAGTCAAATTCATTAAAATTTAAGGAATTGGTGACCACTTCTGTTATCCTCAGCCCGGAGCCATGTTCACATGCACACACCTCACAAGCTTGTGCCTCTGTGCTCTTGCCCAAGGGGCATGTGATGACATGCATACTGTAGCTGTAGTTTCTGCAGCAGTCCCTGCAGCTATACAGCGAGTGATGCTTCTGGAACTAGCGATGTTCCCGGAACTAGCGATGCTACCGATACTTATCGCGAGGGTCTCACTTCACCCTTTGCTGAGAGCTTGTGCAGTGTGTGCATGTTTTAATCTTCTGTTCTGTCTGTCACATTAAGTAAATGAAAGTAAATAGTGAGATTGCATTGCAGCAGTAGGCTCTGTCTGTCTGTGACTTGCATATCGCGAGTACCATTCATTCTATCAGCTTCACACTTGACCTGTGTATTGTTAGATCTTGAATTTGGTGTGATTTGGAAATGCAGTACTGTCAATATTGATTTGAACAAACAGCTGACCAGCGGTCTGTAACAGTCAATCCATATTATTAGAATAAATGTCACATTACACTGTATAACAGATTTTTGCTCCTGAGTGAAGGCTAATGATTACAATTGTAACAATTCTAAATCTGAATCTAAAACTGTAATTCAAAAATCCACAGATTTGTATTACAGTATGACCGTGATTTCTGAACCAAACTGCAATGTGATTCAATTGCTTCACTTTGCTCGTGTTGTGTGCATGAGAAGATGAATGAAGCTTAATGTTTTAAGCAGCAGTGTAGGCACCAGCCAATCAAATCATGTTCTGATGCAAACCATCAAAAAGAACCTGGTTGTAGATTTTATATCGTGTGCACTTCTTCTCTAGCTAGGCGGCTGGCATGGCATGGCAGCACAAAAGACAACAATATTGTGCGTTCCATGCATGTTGTTATGATAATCACACCAGCACCAAGGGTTTCATACACTGACACGTACATGCAAGTCCTCTGAATCTGTCTCACACACACACACACACACACACACACACACACACACACACACACACACACACACACACACACACACACACACACACACACACACNACACACACACACACACACACACACACACACACACACACACACACACACACACACACACACACACACACACACACACACACACACACACAGGGAAAACATCCACAAGGTTTTTCCTTCCTCTGCAGGCAGAGCTCAGCATAACATGTGCTTGAGCTGTGAGCTGGTTAGGTTCATTGGACAATCACAATAATCAACAATTATCAACAGGCCTGGCCTGAGTCCTCTGCATGGTGGATAGCCATGTCTACTGGCTGTCGACATGCTGTGTATTTAGTCGCTTAACGATGAGACCCACGGTAGAGAGCAGACAGTACTGAGGTTTTCAACAGTTTTACTGATTGCTTTAATCAGTCAAAATTGTTGGTTCAATGATTAACGGACATCCCTACTCAAGATAATTAATAATGAGACTGCACACCCCCACGGGCACATACAAGCCAACAGGGATCATTTTGGTTTTCACAAGCTGATATATAATATATTATTGTTATTATTATGTATGTATTTTGAGCATCTCTGGCACTAATTGTGAGTTACATGTCTATCTCATCTAATGTTCATGTTTGTGTGTGCACTGGACAATACTGTCATTTAGATCAATGCAAGTAAATGTCAGGTTTTACAGTGAAAGCCTATACCAGCCAATATCTGATCAGTGTTAGTGTCACTAAAAGTGTGAATACTGATTTGGTAACGCAGAGTGTTCCTCATCACAACTGTGTGAAAAGTCAATGGAGACATTGGCTGTTCTCTGATCTAATACCTATTAATGTTCACATGACTACCTCAGTTCTCCTTCTGTGGGCTCAGCACAACTTAGAGTGTTCTATTGACTTTTCTATCCTGCAGTGACCCAGAGCAGTCTGCTGGGCAGGAGTCCAGGGATTCAAACTGGCAACCCACCACATAAAGACGTGCCTGCTGCAGCCTCCCACCAGCGACTATACAGCAACATGAGAAACTAAATCAATGCTAAATATTCTTCACTCTTTAATGAACTCACATTGTTTATTTATGAATCCAAACGGGGAGAAGCAGGACTTCCAGCATTGGGTGAAATGAAAATGAAAATTTGAGAAGCAGCAGGTTTCTCCCGCTGGATCTCAGGTTTCTGTCTCATTAACGTGACATGGACTTTATTTTATGAATTTACACTTATATAAATGACCACGTCTGCCTTCTCTCAGAGCAGATTCATTGCTCACACAAACAACTTTGGTGAATGAGAATGCCTTGTCTGCATATTGAAATCAAACACCATGAGACACTCATTAGCAAGTTTCCCAGTGGGATGACACAAACATGGGGGTTCTTCAGTCATAACTGGCTTCACTTGGTTTATTAGTGAGAGCTTGCAGGTCCAGGCTGCCCTGCAGCGCAGCAGAAATGCATTCATCTGTATCTAACACAGAGAAACCAGTGGAGAGCTATTCACCAAATCAGCTGAATGGCCACTGAATGTGTTGCAGCCAAGGACAACACTTCAATGCCTCCCACAAAGCACACACACAAAATCAGAAGAAATTCAGACTGGACACAAACGTGTCAGCCTGGTAGTTACCACAAAATAAAGGCTATTCTATAGATCTACCCTCATGTGCAGTGCAGTGAATCTACTGTTATATTTACCCATGTGAAACAACTTTTATGTCGGAGGGCATTTATAATCCCAGGTGTTTACATATGAGGCTTCCAGGTTATTTTACAGCTCAGGATAAGAAAAGGTAGAGAGGATTTTATGAAATATGATTCAACCCAATGTGTTGATGAGCTGGCTTGATGCTGGTGTTACAGAGTTTGCTTCTTGTTTTTCAGGTCCGTTAAACAAAATGCAAAGAGCTACACCGCTAAGAAAAACAAACGCACACTTCCCTAGAACGTCTTTACCACTGTGTCAGACGCCGTTTGGATTTCTTTCAATTTTAGGTTAACATTAGAATTTCCAAGTAGAAACTGACTGGACAAATGAGTGCAAAGCCTAATAATATATAAGTGCAGAATAGTTCATGTTCGGCAGTTAGTTTAAAGCCTGTGCTAATCTATTTTACCAAATATTTACAGTTTTAACAGTTGGCTCGTGCTGGTGGCCGTCGCCAGTCAGGCAGTGTTTCGGGCTCAACAACAACGTGGAAGCAACAGGAGACTCGATCAGATAAGTAAATATTTTGTTGAGACAAGTGATTTCTGATGATAAAATGTGAGCCGGATGAATTGGTAGACCCTTAGCTTGTAAGAGCACTAAAATGATTGTTGTTTTCTCTCAAAATATTTGGCAGGTCAGAGAATCAGCTTTAAATTGACATATTTTCAGTAACAGCTCGCAAGCGGACCCCTCCACAGCAGACAACAGGTGCACAAGTCACCCACCTTCTGCTGCCGCCGGGCCATGTCGGTGGGCTGCTTGGCGTTGAACGGGTAGGCTATGCACCGCAGGACGAACACATAAATCTGCAGTTTAGTTTTCCTCTCCTCTTCCTCCCTCTGGATCCGCTCCCGCTCCTTCCTCTCCTCATCTTCACCTGCCGCTGCGTCTCTCGCACCTTTGCCGGCGGCTCCTCCAGGTGCGGCGGACTGTCTCTGCTGGCCGCCCGCCCGGCTGCTGCTGCTGCTGCTGCTCCCCCGTTTCCCCGACGAGGAGGCAGGTTTCCTCGCAGCCTCCTGCACAACTTCTGGGTCGGACTCCCCGCCGGTGTCCTCGCTGGAGGACGGGTCCAGCATGGTTCACGGGCGGCAAATGAAGACGGAGAGAAAAACGCTCCGGCTCTCGCTGTCGACGCTAAAGAAGAGAAACAAGTGCTGGAGCTTTAGTTTGTTTGCTTTAGTCGACGTGGCGCTAACAGCTGCACTTCGCGGACCGGGAGCGCTGCCCCGCTGCTGAGAGCCGAGTGTGGAGGCGCGACCCCGGAGCTGAGGCGGAGTTTCGCCGGGTTCATGTCCGCGGCGCGTCCGTCACCGGGATCAATGTGTCGGAATGACGGCGCGCTCCCGCCGCCGCTGGCTGCTGCCGCTGCTGCACTGAGCTCACGCGCCGTGAGTGCGCGCTCCTGCACACAGGTGAGCAACCTGTAGCTCGCACGCACAGATAGGTGGAGGCCAGGGGAGAGGTCTCACTCCGTCTGTGTTTCACACTCTCAGAGCCTTGTTCGCTGTCTGGAACAGGAGGATTTCCAGGAAAAGTCAACATAGAGGAAATGTTAGGTATATCTCATTTTCAATAAACAGGCTGATGCTTTTTCGCTGTCAAGTCGAGATGGTCTCATCAAACTCATAAACCCCTTCATGTTATGACAGTCACTAACTTAATGTTTTTCTTCTCTCATAGTCTGTGCTCTCTCTCCCTCTCTCTCCCTCTCTCTCTCTCTCTCTCTCTCGCTGTTATTATTAACTGGTGCAGCTATCACTGATGACATCATTACCTCTAGGAATATCACTGTCTGACAGGACCTAAATACGACGGTGACAGCTCCTTCAGCGACAGACTGATCCACCCTAGGTATCTCAGGTCGTTCCTTCCTGCAGCAGTAAGATTATACAACCAGCTCTGCTCGCACTGAAACCCCCCTTCACCACCATTGGACTGCACTTTGACATTTGTAGGTCTCAACTGTGCAATATTCGTCTGTCTGTGCAATATAAACACTCACTGTAAATATCCTCACACTGCACATGTTTCATCCTGACTTTACACTCTATATACTAGCTACTGATTACATTCATATGTTTCTATATGTTTTTTATCTTCCCTACACTTCATTATTGCATGTTACTTGTTCCTGACCTCTTTCTCCTTTCTTTCCCCCTCCCTCTCCCCCCCCCACTCTCTCTCCCTCTCTCTCTCTTCTCTTCTCTCCTCTCCCTCTTCTCTCCCCTCTTTTACACCCACCTCTCCTCTCGTCCCCATTTTTCTCTGCTCACCCAAGCCGCTCTAGTCAGATGGCCGCCTACACTGACTCTGGTTCTGTTAGAGGTTTCTTCAAGATAAAAGGGTTTCTCTTGTAAGGACTTTACCATGTGCAAATTAAATTAAATTGAAAACATGAAGTTGACTTGTTAACGGGTTCAGGAGCTGAACTCCTCAATCCCATCTCTAATCACCTGCTCAACCTGTCACGCTCTGTTTGTCTCAGATTATTCGACAAACCCTCTCCATTCCCTTCATCCATCCACCCTTCTTCCTCATCCCTAGCCACATCCCTCCATCCTCTCTTCCTTCACATCCCTTCCTTCTCCCTCCCTCATCTCTACCCACATCCCCTCATCCTTGCTGAAAAGTGGTTTAAAATGTCAGTAAATGTTGAATTTGTGAAATCAGATTATTCTGTTGCTTTCTTCTGATTTCCATCATGTCACAAGCACACAGACAGAGAGACACAGACATTGTCATGGACACACAATGTTGGTATGTTATATGTTATATCATGATAACATCAAGATTTCTGTTAAAAGCACATATAGTGTGAGGTTTCTAATCACTGTGTGATACCTCCACTTTACAGACTATCTATGAAAGGAATTAAACGAGCTGCAACAGACAAAATCATTTAAAGATAAAGGGAAAATATTATCATACATGAATTATAATTGAGATCAATTAGGCTTTTCAATTAACAAGCCTTTGAAATCATTCTATTTTAACAAAAAAAGGTGTGTTACCCAGTCTTTGAATTAACAGAAACAAGGACAAAAAGGGATTAGTTAACTTTAAAATACAAATGGAAAACACTAAAAACATTTTTGAAAAGGATTGAAAATGGGTAAAATAAATACATATGGATTGTGTGTGTGTGTGTGTACGTGTGAGAAGTTTGCGTTTAAGGATGTAGCTCAGGAATGCTTAGGCCACTAGATGCCAGTGTTCCTCTGGTGAAACTTACCACTGATAAGAACTTTAACTTTAGAAGATGTTTGTAGCACAACAAAAACAACACATACTCACAAAAAACACAAATAGGTGAACACGATTCTTCTGTGTGTGTGTGTGAGAGGGAGAGAGAGAAATTGCTGAATCTTTTTAATGACATGGTGTTTTATTTTCAGTTTCAACATTCATAGTGATAGCATTACATATTATATAATGATATAACCATACAAAAAACTAAGACAAATCAAAACTGAAAGAAAATTGATTGACTAACTAATCAGGTTTGGACCTGAGTGGATCAGCAAAAAAATCCTAAATCTGTAAAAAACGTTTTTGACACAGTCATTTGAAGACTTTCATCAATCAATATCTATTCTATATACATATATACATACACATGCACACTCACACACACACAGGTCTCTCTCTCTCTGTTTTGTACCCCTCTCTCTTGAAGAGTTTTACATTTTTCAGTCATTTGGATTGATTTCAGCCATTAGTACCTTTTCTTAAAAAGAAAATATTAATATAATTTGGACAACAGGGTTCAGCACAAAGAACTGTTAGCAAAATATCTGACATATTATCAGCTTGTAAAGTAATTATGGCTAAAGATTGAGTTAACAATTCCTGCAGACAGTGCAAAACACTGGAGTAGTATTTATGATGACCTGATGAATGTACAGTACATAAAATTCACTCTCCTTTCAACTCCGCTTTGGTTTCTTTCGCTGATGGATGTTTCACTTTATTTACCAGCTGGTCTCTAACTGTGCCTGCCTGCTGTTGGGTGGTCAGCAGGTAGTTGACAGATTGATTATCAGAGGTTATTTGTTGGCACCTGGGCCTGAAACATACCGTAAATGTGCTGTAAAACCAAATTGCCCCTGTGTGTTCATTGAGGAACATGTCATATGACCTGAACAATTTTAACAGTTACATAGTTTTATTGCCCAGAAAAAAGAAATATCTCAGATTCAGTTTGTTTGGATTTGTTGCCAATATCTAAAAAGAACACCAGAATAATACTTTAATTATAGTTCTTCTTAGGTTTGCGATGATTAATACCTACAGAGAAACCTTAAGATTTAAATTATCAATGCTGCTACTAACTACTGCTCTTAAAACAGAGGCTCCTAAATGTGTGCATGTGCTGTAGGTGCACAGAACCCCTACCTACAAATAAAAACACTCTTATTTTGGTGAGTGAACACACATGAATCTTGTTCTCCCTCAAGAGGCCCCTGGATGCCTCTGATTTAGAACCAAACTTGAGGACCAGACTTTAAGGTGTTGTGGCGTTAAATCCAGGGAGGACCGGGGCCCAGTCAGGGTACGTGTCCAGAGCAAATAGTGGAACTCCCCATGTCACCACAGCGAAAACCACGGCAAGGACGCCAATTATGTTAACGCCAAGCCCCGCCTTCACCTGCAGCGATGATCATTCAGTTGACATGTTTGAAAATTCTGTATTCAGATTAAATTTGACATTGCATTTATTTACTTTGCTGCCAGCAGAGATTTAATGAAAGAGTAAATTGGTAACAACCATGTTTCTGTGTACGACAGGACTCACCATGTCCATGATGTCGAGGTGTCCATACGTGAAGACGACAGCGTTGGGCGGGTTGGACACTGGCAGCAGGAAGGAGAAAGATGTGCAAAGGGTTGTGGGGATCAGGACGTACAGTGGGTTGACGTGGATTGCCTCAGCCTGAAGAAATCACACGGGCTCAGTGGAAAGCAAAAATCTGATTGGTGAAATCATGTGTAACTGCTTTATCACTGAATAGCAACAGCGTTCAAAGTGGGATTGTCATTTCATACATAACAGTTGAAACCTCCAGACATCATCCATCCATTCTTTCCACCTATACTCAATAAACAAAAACTGCATACCAGCTGATTAGAGTGGATGGTTGTTAGAACATTTTGGGTTGAGTTGGTTTAATGACAACTTTCAAATATACTTAGAAAATCTCAAACTCAGAGAAAAGTCTTGGTTACTTCCATCATTATTCCTGGAGAAGTAAGCATAATAAGCTAATTAGCTTACAAACATTAGCTCTTCAAAGTGTTAAAAGCGTCACAACCTAGTCTGCCATGCCTGGCTGTGATCCTGTCTCTGTTCTCGTGTCATTCCAGACCCAGTCATTCCCACAAAGCCTTTGATTACCTCATTCCCTTCACCTGAGTTTCCCCACCCTCATACTCCCCTGCTCCTCATTCCCTCATTGGTTCTTCTGTGTATTTATACCGGTTCAACTGCATTTACTCTCCAGTTGACGTTTTGCTTTTCGGCTGATTTTCTGGTTTTGACCCCTTGCCTGTCTTTTGGATCTCTGGAGTTAATAAACCACCCTTCTGCACTTGAATTTGTCTGTTGTTGTGCTTTTGAGTTTAATTCTGCCTCCAGTCGTCACAAAAAGGACATCATCCTAATCAGGTTGAGAAAACCCTCTGTAACATAATCCTATTAATGTTCTGTGTTTTTCAATAGAGTGTGGATAGAGACAACATTTTCAAATTATATCTGATATCTATTATATCTATTTGTCTCGATCAAGAAAGATTGGACATAAAATTGCGTCCTGAGCCAAACTCTTTCGAACTAGAGTTTCTCTGCATCAGAGCTGCGTAGAATACTTCAGTTCGCATTGATATGACACAGATATATATATATATATAAAGGAATAACAGAACTCAAGGAAACATGAACATTAGCAACAAGACAGAAAGTGTGCTATAGAGCAATGTGGCATTTTGGTAATTTTAAAGTAATAGTGAGATCTGTCAGGATACAAAAGCAGCCCTGCACCACTGGATGACTGTGACTAAAACGTACTCATCAGGTAAATGACAATCACCTAAATCAACATGACAGTTATAGGAAAAACAGCAGGCTGAACTTTGGACTCATACAACAAGTGAAGGAGGTCTATAGAAGCACTTGTGTACTGGTGTTGTCCGCAGGTAGTTTGTGCCAGAATAAATTAATCCTTTACTAAAAGTGATGTCAGTGTTATCACCAATAAAGCCAGAGCTGAAGTTAGTCGAGGGGTAGCTGGAGGAGAAGAAGTAAAATAGCTCATATCTACTGTGTTTAAACCAGCTTTTATTTATCTAATTTAGTTTTTGTAACGGATCAGTTCCTGTGTTCCATCTGTCTGGATGTGTTCACTGATCCAGTCACTTTACCATGTGGACACAACTCCTGTAACAAATGCATCACTGAACACTGGGATAATAAGTTCCTGTGTCGGTGTCCCAACTGTAAAGAGCTTTTCTACAAGAGACCTGAGCTGTGGTTCAACACCTTCATCTCTGTGAGGCTGCTCAGTTCAGACAGTCGTCTCAACAGAGAAGCTCAGAGAATCAAGCTGCCAAACCAGGAGAGGTTCCCTGTGAACATGAAGTTGTTCCTCTGAAAGTAGAATATGAAGAAAAGAAGGCTGAGCTGAGCGGGACAGAGGCTGAACTTCAGCAAATGACTCAAAAGAGACGACAGAAGATTGTGGAGATCAAACGATCAGTGGATCTCTAAGACAAGTGCAGACAGAGAAACAGAAGAAAGTGTTCAGGTCTTCACTGCTCTGACGACGTCTGTTGAGACTGAAGGCTTGAAGGCTTCATCAGTGACCTGGAACAAGAAATCTCTGAGCTGAAGAAGAGAAGCAGTGAGGTGGAGCAGCTCGCACACTCTGAATACCACCTCCTTCAAAGCTTCTCATCTCTTAACACTGATCCACCCACCAAGGACAGGACAGGAGTCAGTGTCCCTCCTCCATCATGTGGGGATTGTAAGGAGAGCAGTGAATCAGCTGGAGGAGACGCTCAATAAGAATATAATGAACCTTCTTGACAACGAGCTGGAGGGGGTCCGGCAGTATGCACTGGATGTGACACTCGAACCTGACGCAGCACATTGCAATCTCATTCTGTCTGATGATGGGAAACAAGTAAAACGTGATGATTCAAAGAAGAACCTGACGAACAGTCCACAGAGATTTGATTGTTGCCTCTGTAACTGAGAAAACAGGTTTTCTCCTCAGGAAGACTTTACTATGAGGTTGAAGTTTGTGAGAAGACTCCGGAGATGGGTTTCTGGACAGTATGTTGCAGAGACCCAAATAAATTTGACTTGGGTGTGTTTGTGGATTGTGAGGAGGGTCTGATCTCCTTTTATGACATTGATTATTCAGATCTTATCAACTCTTTAATTGGATTCCTCTTCAATGAGACAATCTACCCTTTCTTCTCACTCTATGAGAAGTATGCTGGTAAAAACTCTGAAGCCCTGATCATCTCTCCTGTCACTCCATGACCACCATACAACTTATTAACTTTACAATTAACA